GGGTCGAGCTCTTCAAGTCTTGACCATGACGTCGAATCCCCGACGATAGATTGCGGCGAAGCTGCCGAATCGGTTGCCGATGGTGATGAAACCGTGCATGCGATGGATTGTTGCACGTGGAGCGGTTGGTCCAGCGGTGGAACGAAGTGGACAACATAGTCCTCGTAAGTGTAACGAGAACTTGCGACATTAGCGTTCTCCCCAGATGTGCAGGAGGCCGCTAGCAAGGCGGCCGAATCTGGCGGAGTAGAAGGTGGAGTCGCCTCACCTWCCRYRGARCTSRGTTTCCCGAGCTGAGGCGGGGTCGCACATCCTCCTTGCCCTGATCTTGGCACAGGGAGGTCTTGTGCTTGGTGCTGTTGCACCAATAGCAGCTGCCATAGCGGCCGCGGACCTTGTACTCCGCCTCAGTCAAGCCAAACTTGACCCATGAAACTTGTACTGGCTGTCCATTTTCGACCTGCGATGCGGATTTCGCCTTCCCATTGTTGTGGGACTTGTTGTTGCTTCGCGGCTGGACAACAGCCACCTGATCTCCGTCACTTGATGCTGGAGTGGCTGCTGGGTTATCTCCACTGTCCGACTGGACTGCAGCGAACTGCTGCTGTCGCGGACCAGTTTGTACCTTCTCCACATAGGTTGGCTGCCACGTGGACTTCTCGTGTGCAGCCGGCCTGTTAGTCTTGATGAGCTCTCTCGCCTTGTTGATGATCTCTGTGAAAGTGTTGTACTGCTCGCGATCACCAAGTGCGAGGCTGAGAGCGGCGCATGACCTGTTGTAGAACTCACGCCGCAGATGCGGAAATGACAAGTCCAAATTGGGCGTTGCCACGATTTTCTGTCAATCTGTGAGCCAGTCACATGTCGGTGTGCTCCCTTTAGCCATCGTGAAGATGTGGTTGACGGCGAGTGGCAGGGCGTCGTCGACGATGAACCGCTTCTTCCATTCCTTTGTCATATCTTCCCAGGAGACCTTCTTGTACAGGTCTGAAACCTGGACGCCGTGGATGGTTGCCATGTGGCTGAGCCAGATCTGACATCCTCCCTTGGTGTTGATGAACAGAGCACTGATGAACAGATGGTCAGGGACTTCGTGAATCCCCAACTCCGTTCTAAATCCTTGCCACCAGACGACCGGGTCTTGATGTGTGTAGTCATCAAATTTCTCGATCCGGAACGTCGACATCTTGTATGGCCTCGCCGAGCTGTTGTTGTGGCTGTGGTCAATCTGCTGTTGCTGACTGATCTTAGTGTCCAGCAACTGGAACCGCTGGCTGATGGTGGCCGGCTCTGTGAAGGCACTTATGTCTCCTAGCATTGCCACTACGTGGTCAACGCGTTCCTCCAGTTGGCGGCTAGAGGATGCACTGCTGGAAGCTCCAGCATCTGGTCCTGGTACAGCCTGTTCCAGGTCCAGTACACGGGCGTCCAGTGCCCGTGTGGCATCCTCGTGCTGAATCTTATGGTCCCTCACGGCCCGCTGAAGGTTTGCCAGCTCGGAGTGTAGGTGGTTACATGTGTAAACCAACCTGCTCACGAGCTTGGCCTTGAGCTCCTTTTGCTGTTCTTCCGGTGTTGGCTTGTCGCCGTTCGGTTCAAAATGCCAGTACTTGAGTTTCTCGATGCTGTTGGCTTCATGCCGCTGCAGCAGAGCYTGGGCTTCCTTGCGGCGAGCCTGGGCATCTGCGTCTGCTTCGGCCTGTAGCCACAGCTTCTCTGTTGTTGCCGCTTCATCAGCCTGTAGCTGGGCAGCCTTGACTGCCAGCTGGCGTTGTTCCTCAGCCTCGATTGCAGCGAGCTGAGCATGGACGCGCTTTTTGTAGTCGGCAATGGGCTCATTGGGCAGTTGGCCTGGCAGGCCCGTCATGTTGCTGACGTGGCACTTTGTCTGACGTGGCACTGCTGATGTCGCTCTGCTTATGTGGCACTGTGTCTGACGTGGCACTGCTTACGTGGCACTGTGTCTGACGTGGCACTGCTTACGTGGCACTGTGTCTGACGTGGCACTGCTTACGTTGCATTGTGTCTGACGTGGCACTGCTGACGTGGCACTGAGTCTGACGTGGCACTGTGACCTGGCACTGCTGACGTGGCACTGCCGATCTGGCACTGTGATGTGGCACTGCTGACGTGGCACTGTGACCTGGCACTGTGATGTTGCACTGCTGATCTGGCACTATGACGTGGCGCTGCTGACGTGGCACTGTACCGAACCGGGATGCATGCAAGGGGTGGGTGGGAGGGAAAACGTAGGTAGGTAACCAACCCAACAATACTTTCCTCCG